ACAAACCAAGAGTTGGAGAGATGGTTCAGTGGTTAAGAACACTGGTTGATCTTCCAGAGGACCAGGGTTCAGTTCCTAGCACCCACATGGCAGCTAACAATCACCTGTAACTCCAGGTCCAGGAGATCTGACGCCCTCTTCTGGCCTCCATGGGCATTGTACAATAAGGGTGCACTTAGATACATGCAGGCAAACATGCATACGCAATAAAACAAACAACAAAACCAAAGTAACAACAAAATAATGCAGTGGATCAATTATCTAACATTTATTTTACATTAGATGATTTAAATAATCGATGGGTGACTTAAAATATAAGGGAGGATAAGTGAATACAAATACTATGCCACTTTACATATGGGATGAGAATCTTTGGACTTTGATATTCCTAGTGGGTAGAAGGTGGGTCCTGGATCCAATCCCCAGGACACCAAAGAACAACTATCTCTTATGTATTCCAACTGCTTTCTTGACATGCAACATACAAGGGCTAGAAAGCAACAGTTCTGCGCCTTTAACTATATTCTAAGATTCACGCCCTATCTATATTACATGGAAAAATAAGGTTTCTTTTCACATATCCATGGGTAAATAAATACTTGGTATTTTTTATTATTTATTGTGTGTGTATGCACGCACACACACACATGCATCAGGCGAGCATGTCACAGTGTGTGTACAGAGGTCAGAGAACAACTTCAGGGAGTTGGTTCCCATCTTCTAACATGTGGGTTCTGGAGACTGAACTCAGGCTTGGCAGCAGGCACCCTTATCCACTGAGCCACTGTGCTGGCCCATGCTATTTTCTTAAGTAAAAACACTGCAGGAAGGACATCATTATTACACTCACCCCAAGGCTCAAGGATCTTAATGGAAGAGGGAGCAGAAAGACTATAAGAGCCAGAGGTGGCGGATGACCACAAGGGAACAGTGTTTTCCAAACAGCAGGACAGTTGTTTACATGAACTCACAGTAACTGTTTGACAGCATGCACAACACCTGCTCAAGCTCAATCCAGACAAAATCCCAGCATGGAAGGAAGAGGTAGGCACAAAGTCCCACCTTCTAGCTAAGGAGCTATTAGCACTTGATAGCTGCTGGGACAGGAAGAGTCAGTTTTCACAAGTTCCACATCCAAGAGTTCCACATCCAAGAGTATCTGGTCAACACAAACTCAAAGGGGAAAAAAAGAACATGAATTTGGGTGGGTAAGGAAGTGGGGTGGACCTTGTATGAAATTCTCAAGTAAGTAATAAAAATATTTCCAACAACCACCATTACCAAGGCAGGGATGCTGCTAAGTAGGAACAGTAGTCCAGAGACAGCCAAAGACCCATGATATCCACAGAATAGGGGAGTAGTTAACACTGAGATACTGGCCATCTAACCAGATTCAAACAGCTGTGTTTTTATGGCCAAAGAGGTCAATGGCTTTAACTTAAAGAATCTATATTACATTTTAGCAGATTTCTAAAAAAGGAAAGCAGATATAAATATTTTCAAAATACAAATACATAAAGAAATGCTTCTTTTCAGATTAGGTCTCAAAAAGTAGACATAGTTGTGTTCACAGTTTCTGATGTGGTCTTGGTCAATACTGGTCCTTTGTCTCTAATAGTGGGGAGCAAATAAAGGAATCGAAATAAAATATAATTATATGCTTATTTTTCCTAAAGCTGCTATACTGTATTTGTTTATAAAGTATATTCATTTACTAATTAATATCAAAGTATAATAAAATAAACTCCAACTAATAATAAACTAATCTCTTGGCCACTTTTGTGTGTAGGTATATATGTGGAGCAACCGTGGAGGCCAGTGTGGTCTACATAGTGAATTCCAGACCAGTAACTTAAAGTGAGACCCCGTCTCAAAAACAGAACAGAACAAAACAAAAACCAAGCTACCAACCCACCCACCCCAAATTACTGCCTTATTTTGAAGGCTATGTTTGGAAAACTGTTGCCTTAGCAATATAAATTTTGTTCAGCTTACCTTTGTCTGTTCTTTTCTAAGTTGCTTTAATAACGTTAAATCGTCCACATTCTTTTCTCTCTCTTCTCGGAGACTTTTTACTACTGCTGAGGTCTGGGCTATACAATTTTTAATAACTCTGTCCCTACTGACATGAGCTGCCATCAACTAAAAGAACAAAGGAATGAAAAGGGGGAAGAAATCGTATTAATTTCAATATTTAAAAAACCTGAGACTTTAAGGCATGTCTGAAGGTGGGAAGATGAGGCCTGTGGCCTTAAACATGCTCCCAGCATGCTTTGTTTGGTTTCGCTGAGGCCTCCAGGCTGGGCTAGCCAGCTCAGTCTCCTGGGCCCTTGTTCTCACTACCAGCTCACCCATGCGCTCCTCTACACTACAGCTGCCCTCTGGGCCACTTATTGGTGTCCTCTCTTATTTTATCCTTTCAGGTATTTTTCAGTCTCATGTTGTTAACAAGGGAAAGATGCAATGAACTAAGTGATGTAGAGAATAACTTAGTTATAATAAAGAAATACAAAGACTGTTATATTTAATCATTTAAGTGGAACCCCTTTCAAAACTTTTAAAGTTTAAGTATTGGTCAAGAAAACCTGTGAGGCACAGAACAGTGGCTCCATTATGAATGCTGATGGAAAGGAAATCTGACAGAACTCTTCAGTCTTCCTAGTGTAGCACATCTCATAAAATAGCTTTCATCTCTCTTCATCTTGGTTCAGCAAAGTACAATGGTCATGTTTCAAGCACCTCCTACAAACATGGCCAAATGTTGGGGATACCCCAAAAATCTGCATTTGTAAAGCACTGTTTCAAGTTCACAGACTTCAGTGTTCAGTAGTGATTTTCATGTTTGTTTTGGGGAAAAAAGAATATAAAGCTAAGATTTACACCTTAGGGAGGATAAGGGGGAGCTCCATTGAAATTATTTGACTTTTGAGTATCCTTTTGAGGTTAGAATTTCTAAAACTCGTGCTTCAGAATAACTAACTCTACACATCCTTTCTTATAAGGAAGTGTTACCATTAGGAAATGCAAATACTTCTTTGTCAGCTATAAACAAAGCTGGGCCAAGAACTAAAAAGAGCAGCCAACTTAGATGCTTCAGACTTCTCAACAGGGGGAACACTAAGGACCTCAGTGGTTCTTACTGGCTGCACAATCTGCAGGCCCAAACTCTGGAGCAAAGCTACATGAACTACAGTAACAGCAGCCCAGGAAAGCATACGTCAAGTACTTAGGACAGCACACACATTATATTAGCTCATTTCATCCTCTAGCAACCCTACGAAACTGAGGCAAAAGAAGGAACATAACATGCTCAAAGCCACCAACCTAGGAAGTAGCAGAGGTGAGGTTCCCCCTAGACCCGGAATCACACTAACCATTAAGCAATCACTCCATGTTAACAGAAGATTAGGGCCAATAGAAAGAACTGAGTTTAGAGATTATATGCCTAGTGTGGAGGACCACCATACCACAAGCACGCTCCTCTAGCTCTTTAGTCACAGATACCTGAAGAAACTAAATGAATCATCAAACACCTCACTGGGATTTAGACTTAGACCTACCCTCCTAATCCCAATGACTAGATTTTATGTACTAAATTCTACACCTTCCAATTTTCTAAAACCATGCTTACCTGATTGCTCAACAAAATGACATACTTTAATAACATAAAAGCAGAACAAAAATATCAGCAGTTAATGCACTGAATTTTGTCCCCAAAATGATTTTTTTCCACATCTGAGAAAGAGTTTTGGATTTAAGTAGTATCTTTTTTATAACCAGAAATCCAAATAGTAACTTTGTGGTGGTAGAGCAAAAAATAGCAAGCACCATTTGAACTTTAGCTTCCAAATGAAAGGACAGAAATAATCTATAATAGCTGTGCCATTATTTCCTTCTGCTTTTGCAAATTCTAAAAGAGAAAAAGAAGGTAAGGAATAACCAAGCTTGGGAAACTGAAGCTCCAGGAAAGGTAACTTATCAGTATCCGTGGCTTTCCCCATATATTTCTATTCTCCTTCTGGATAACTGAAGAAGATGTAAGAGGTATGAAGGGTTTTCATTTTTCCTTCCATCAGCTGTCTGGCCTCTGGGACTGATTCATTCAAAGCCTTCATTCCTGCTCCTATCTTACCTGTTCCATGGTCCTCTTCTTCACCTTGTACAAACTGTCTGACAGGCTGCCAATTCAGAGGCCAAAACAGTAAGTGCTCACACTTTTTAGAACCATCTCTCAACACCTTTGTGCATAATATCACAGATTTTCTTAGTTTGTATAAACAAAGACGCCACATGTTTTCATAGTTAAGATACAGGTCAACTGATTTCTTATTTGCAAAGAGTGGCAAAAAAGAAGCACAGAAGAGAGATTCAAAGATCAACTTACAGACTCATAAAGTTGTTTACAGGTTTGGCTGGCATCAATTTTCCCTGCAAAGGAAGCTGTTGGAACCGTAGTGTTTAATTCATGTACTATTCTGTCATCAATTGTCCTCATCACCTTCAGTAATTCCTATAGATATTTAAAATAAAATAGAAGAATAAAACCTCAAGGAAATGTTAATAAAAATTAAGTATTTAAGCAAAAGAGAAAGGTCTTGGGTATTTTAAAACACTTTTACTTAGGAAAGCTAGCCAAACACAGTACAATCACAAAAATATCTTTATTAGGAGGATGATAGGTAGGATATGTAATAGTGATTCTAACTGTGGGCTCTGAGCCTGTCTCTACAGCTCTGGTGACTGTTAAAAGTTAAGACTGTTTCACTCACAATTAAATCCCACTTTCTAGCATGGTACTTGCAAACAGCATGTGTCTTCCAGCTACAGCATACAGTCAACAAAGTGTTCTCCTGAACCTCAACACCATGCACCCTCCACAACCACCAGCATCACTGCTCACTTTATTCCTTCTTACCTGACTCTGTAAAAGGTGACTTCAGGAAGAGATAGGAGCAACTATTAGCAGCAGTTAACTCACAGAAACAAAGTTACACTGTAGGCTCTGGTTTTGGTCTTTTAGTTCTTTAGCTTTTTACTATGATTATACATTATTTCTGTGATAAAAACCAAGCAAATATATGCTACTGGAGAAAAAAAATACATAAATTGGCTTTCTCATTCACAGAACAAGTAGGAATTAGTTTCAGCTTTTCTTGGTAACCCTGGCTCACATTTCCCAAGGATCTATTCTCCCTCAAAAAGTCTCCAACTCTCAAAAACCCAGTCCAAAGAAAAATACCAAAAGGTATTTACTGTTGCTGAATGTGTGGAGATGTAGCTCAGTAGTAGAGCATTTGCCTAGCATGTGTGAGGCCCTGAATTCCATCCCCAGAAACCCACTACACCAAAAGAGAAAAAGGGAAAAAGAACAAAAGCAAAAGACTGCTGAGTATTACTGGCATAGCACCGTCCCTCTCCCCATACTGTGATGGGCACTTCTCTGGCACTGGGGCACTGGGTAAGGGAGAAGTCCCAGGTACATCCTGCCCTTCATTGCTATAAACTCAGGGTACGTTTCTAACAAAAACCACAAGCACTGAAAAAACACCAAGAAAACAATTACATTATTACTAGGAATGCACTTAATTTGTGAAAACCTCCAAACTAACATCTAGTATTAACATGTATTAAGAAACTTTGCTTGACTATCTCCCAGTACCCCATCCCTTTCCTTTGAAAAACACATGACTGAAACTAACACTTTTGTTTCTTTTCTCATTCATTTGCTAAAAACTTTCATTATGATTATAGTATTACCCTCATTTTGTAAAAATTAATGAAAAAAAATTGAGATAGGGACTCCCTGCAGCCTCAGCTGGCCTAAAACTCACTATGCAGACCAGACTGGCTTCAGTCTCACAGAGATTCCCTTGACTCTGCTTCCTGAGTGCTGGAAATTAAAAGCATGTACACATCTGACACTATGTTACATTTTTAAAATGATATTATATCATGATTTATAATATATAAATAAAAATCATCCTATATTCTTTAATAGTTCTATAGATGCTCTGTGGAGCACAAAGAGCATTCTCCACTATAAAAACTGAGTCCATTCAATCTAAGTATGTTGTCTAGATTCTGTTCCTATCACTTCATTAACTTTAAAATACTGAATAGCCTCTCATGACCTCCACATAGAAACAAAACAGCTTTTGGAAAGACCATAATTCAGATCGATAAAACACAGGCAACAGCTGGTGAGCTGGCTCAGCAGGTAAAGGCACTTAGTGCCAAGCCTGAGCACATTAGTTAATCCCCAACTTCCACACACGGTAGAAGGAGAGGACCAACTCCCACAGGTTAACCTCTGACTTCCACTCACATGCCCCCCACAAAAAAAATAAATGTAATAATAATAAAAACTCATAGGCAATGGCAGGTCTAATGAAGTTCATTATCCTGTCTCCTTTCCCTTTATCCTATTTTTCTTGAGTATTCTCTGCAAATTGGAATTCTTAGGGGATAATCTCACTATATTCCCTGGGCACTATCACTTTAAATGCCATGTAATGGAGGACACATAATGTCCATGAGTAGTAAATTCCAAACAAATGATGGTAGCACTTCATGAGTCAAAGGGAAGAAAGCAGTTGGGTGTGGTGGCCATGCTTGTGAGCCTAACACTCAGGAGGCTGAGTCAGGAAGAGTATGAATTGGAGGCTAGTATGGATACTAGCCATGTCCATATCGAGATCCTGTTGCGGGGAGGGGTACAGAAGTAGCAGACAAAGCTAACTTAACTTACAACGTGATTAAATTTTAAATACCCCGTTTAAGAACACTTTCAGAGGCCAGGTGTGGTGGCAGATGCCTTTAGTCCCAGCACTTGGGAGGCAGAGGCAAGCAGATCTCCGTGAGTTTGAGGCCAGCTTGGTCTCCATAACAAATCCAGGCCAGCTGGGGCTACAGGGAGACCTTGTCTCCAAAAGACCAAAAAGGAAAAAA